GTTCAGCTGTTGCTTGCTGTAGCAGGTGTGCTTGTCTCAGCCTGAATACCTGCTGTGCCTTCAGCAGCACTGCTGCTGTAGTTTTCCCATCAGCTCCTCATTCTTTCACGTAACACTGAAGGCTCAGGGTGGGTAGGGGTAAATTTGTGGAAGGGTGTCTGTGGTGTCATGCTCAGTTATTAAAGGCAGACTCAGAGTACTAAGATAGTAAGGTAATTCTAATAGGTTTTTTTCCTTCAGTTGCTGTGGCTGTTTTGCCTGCCTTGTTCAAAGAGGTTGTGTTAGTGGCATACCCAGAAAGCAGGAAAGAAGGAAGTGTTCAGGAGAATTAAGCAGTTGAATGACAGCAAAAAGTTCCTTAGGACAAGAGCCTTGTTACAGACTTTGGATGTAATGGGCACCAGGCCACAGGTAAGCAAAAAGCAGGGTAAGTGCACAAGGTGAAGGTCTTTGGCCAGTATCTTGCATTGCTGAATATGCTTTCTCATACTGTCCATCCATCAGAATTGGTGGGAGCACATGAGGGAAAGCTGTTGGTAACCAGTGCTACCACTGAGAGCTGCTGGAAGTAGTGTGGGCCATCAGGCAAGCAGCAGCTGAGCACACAGCAGGCTCATTCAGTGGTCCCTAGCCTTCCTAAAATAGCTCTTTGAACAGCACTTCCTGCTTATTTAGGCACAGAAAATTGCCTGAGAGCGTTGTTTGGGGTGGTGCATAGCCCATAGCAATCAGATTGTCACAAACAAGGATATGCCTGTGATTGCTGAGTTTGCAGGTTAAGAGGTGATTAAACTCCTTGTGTGGAGCATTGTCCTCCTAATGTGGATGTGGTGCTGGTTTCATCACTTAAGCTAATCAGGTAAATGCCACAGCAACATCCAGGCCAGAACAGTGTTGAAAGTAAGAGGGTAAGTTTAAAAAAATTTCCAAGCATGTCCAGCTTAAAGCTTGAAGATCCTTATTGTCTTTTCAAGTCTTGGAAAAGTCAGTCTTTCTGCCTTTCCCTCTGTGTTGTGCTTTGTCACACTTATATGTCTTTTTGTTTTCAACTTCCCAGGATGCACAGGAGATATGCTGATAGGAGCCAAACACAGCTACTGTAAAATTCTCTTATATTTGGAGAAAGATGTGTGGTGATGGGAATGATGTGTCTGCTTGTCAGAAGTCATTCCAAGAGGGGGAGCAGAGTAGCTGCTTGCTGTCATAGCTTTTTCAAAAAGCAAGGTAAGAGGAGGTAGGTCTGCAGCAGCAGGCTGAGCTCTGGCAGCACTCTCCCAGCTGGGATGGGCATCAGACACGTGTTAAAAGGGAGTGTCATGTCAAATTCAAGGAAAAGAAATTATTCCTTGGAACAACACAAAGAAACTATGCCTGGCTTGGGAAGATCCTGAGTCACACATGGTGGTAGACAAGGAGTGAGGGCACTTCAGGCAAATACTGTCCTGTAACTACACTGGTGAAAACAAGGTCCTGGGCTAGATGGACCTGAATTGATCTGATGCAGCTGCTCTTAGTGTTATTGTACAGATACTTAATACATGTTTATGCTGCAACTGACATGCATGAAGATAGCAAAAAGCGTTAGTTAGAAATCTCACTGTTGGGGGCAGCAGCTCTATGGTGGAGCTGTACCATGAGCTAGGGCAGCTGTGCTGGGGATGCCCTGCAGAGGGCTCTGCCCCTGGGCTGGGTAAAGCTTGAGGGTAAGGATGAGGCAAGAAGTAAGAAACATTAGCTGAAACTTAAGGATAGCTTAGATGGGATTGAAGACTTTTGCACAAACAGTTCTGTTACAGTTATTTGCAATGGAATGACTACATCATCCACAGGACTAATTTAGATTTTATTCTGGTATTTCTCAAATATAAAAAGTCAAAATTCTTACATCAATCTTTAAAGAAAATCCATGCAACAGGTCAAAATGTTTACAACTTAATTTCTCCCCCCTCCCCCCCCTCAGTTTTCACTTCACAAACCATGTTGTTGGTAAGTAAACCAAATGTCTGCCCCTCGGGTTTTTTTTCACAGCACATTGTTAACAGAACAATGCTAGGCTAAGTCAGGGGTGCAGTAAGCACCAAAATAAGTTTTCACTTGAACAGCCTCTCTGCAATACCTCAGTATTTCTTGTGCTGTTTAAAAGCACATCCATTTCACTTAATTCCAGCTCCATGTGATTTTAGACTTTAAGGCTCTTTTTCTTTGATACCACTGTGATCTAACTCATGAGAATCTTAAAACCTAACAGCCAGGAAAAGCAGCAGTACAAACTAGACACTCTTTGAAAATTGCAGATGACAACCTGTCTCTTCCCTTTCTCCTCTGGAGAACCAAATCTGGATACATTGTACATAAATTTACAGCATAAGAAAAGTCCCAAATCTGCTCTGTATGAAATAGATTTGGCCCATCTAAGACAAGATTCTTGTAAAAACCAAAATGCTTCTACAGTTAAATTGACAGGTAGTAGAAAAAAACTGTAGCCTTCCTATTCCCATTTTTACACAGCCCCTTTCTGTTGGAGTTTAGTGTCACATTTCATTAGTACTGAAGCCATTCCACTGGCCCTTTACTGCAGTTGTTTCCTGTAGCATAACTGAAGTGTTTGCAGTTTACCTTTGCAATTCACAAAACATTTACCTTTGAAAGGGAGTAGATGTCAAAGTAAGCAACAGAGCTTGGTTCTGAAGGTTGCATAGAGACTCAAGAGATTTGTACAACAAATGCTGTTAAAAAAAAATTAAGTCTGTCTGGCACTACTGAACAGCTCAAATGTGTGTGACCAAAAAGTAACCAAAATATTTATAGGCAATCAACTCTGAGTTTGTTAGCAACGGCAATACTGTACATTATACACTATTATCAAATACATAACTCAAGAGTTACAAAAGAAGATCATGCATTACCACTAAATCTCATACAAGCTTGGATTGGTTTCATTCCAAGAATCTGAAATGGAGACAGAGCATTTTTTTGAGTAAGAACTCAAACTCTAGATTCTTGTTTCAGCTTTCACAGATTCGATATAATCTTGTTACAAGAAAACCTGTACAAGTTTGCTCAATTTAAAGTGTTAAAATGACTACTGAACAAAAAAGTGAGCATTAAAGTGATCAAAAAAGGGAGCTAAATTCACTCTTTTAAAGGCAGCTTCAGAGCCAGAGCTATCCTTCCACACCACAGGTATGGTTTTAACAAAGATTAGACATTCAACATGCTCAACTCCACCTTCTCCTGTTTCACCTGGCAAAACAGTGCATTTGACAGAGCATTCAGTTCCAAGCAGTGAGCTGAGCAGATGGTGTCCCAATCCAGGTTAGGTTCAGTGTAGAGTAGGCATACTGCAACACCAACACTCCTCCCTGGCCCTCCACCTGATGGCTGAAAGGATGGATAAGCTGTTGGCAATACTTCCACCTTTAGGTGCATCTCAACAGTTGTGTGTTCCTTCCAGCTCTGAAAGTGACCTGGGCTAGGAGCTAAGCAGAATGGAAAGCAGCATCCTACCCACCATTTCAGAAGTCTTCAGCTTTGTGGCTCATGCCTCTTGTCAGTAGTATTTATGCCTCTTCAAAAAGAGCAGCATTAAGAGATCAGATCCTCTGTCTCCCTAGTTTTACTGCATTTACATATGGCACAAGGTTGGTTTACTAAGGAGTAACTTGTGGCAACAACATTTTTTTCCTAAAAAAGTGTAACAGCACAAAAAAATTCATAGCAGCATTTTACACAATTTGTGTTAAAAAAGTAGAAGTTAACCATTTGTGTATTGAGTAACAAAAGGTTTAAATTATATTTATTTTCCATTTTACACTCACTATTTACTAGGTGGACTATTTACAAAGGTTCAAATGTTGTATAAGAGAATGAGCTTTACCCAGAATAAACTTCACATGTGAGGTACTGGTCTACCTCAACCTCTGTTTTGGCTGGCTATAGAGGAGGTACAGTTGGGTTTAGATCCTAGAAAAGCTTCAGAAGTAGGATGTTCATGTGAATTAGATTGTGTTCTTGTAGAAGAAACCATGCACACACACATACAGAGAGAGAGTAATCCTACGGTAAAAACATTAAGACCAACAGTGGATGCAGTTTTCATCTTTTTGGCTGAAAAAGAGGAGATAATTAAGAACAGGGAAGTTGACAGCTGTGCCTCATTTTTCCAACTATATTTTTATCAAGAGGCCAGCTTTGAGTGGAAGCTAAAGTAATTGACATTAAACAGAATTGAAGGATTTAAGAATCAACTTAAAACTGGGGCTTTCAGCACACCTTCTGAATAAGACAAAGTAGTATTATTTCTCTACTAGTATAGTAAGTATCAACACACCTGTCCCAAACCCCAGAGGTAGCACTACTAGCTCCTGCAGGGCAAGACACCTCAACACATACTTGCTAATGGACACCTCTGTAACATAAGGGTGCCCCGGCTAAGTCTTGCTTTCCTCCAAATATTTTTAAATTACAACAGACTGCAGGAGCACTACGTGAGATGCTTCTAATTGAAGATTAGGTGGTTTTGGAACCTGCAGTGTAACAAAACATGTATCAATGTTACAAGGAAAAAATTGGGTGGAAGAGGAATCTACAATGCTTTTCACACAAGTCTTCTGACAGTTCATCAGCTGACCAAGTGAATAGTTTTGGTAGCTGCAAGACAAAGTTATTGTTCTTGCTCAAGTTATACATTACATGAAGATTGCATAGGACAAGGCAACCTTTTGGATAACTGAGGCAAGCAGTGCTTAGTGTTGGTATCCTTTGCTCTTGACAAGCTGAATATGGTTTAGTGCTTTATTGTAGTCACCCTGATGCATCTCTGCCTTCAACACATCCATGTACCCAAGTACTACCTGCTTAAGATCTTAGTGCTTCATCTGTGGATACCAAATAAGGGTTTAGCATAAGACTATTTGCTCAAGCTTTTTTCTAAGCAAGTGCTCTTGCAAAACTACTGACTAAAACTCACAAGTCTTAAATAAGCTGAACACCACTGAGATGCATATTTTATTTTAGCAGATACGGAAATTGATATACTCAAGTTTCTTTTTCTTAATGGCCTATTAAGGCATCTTAAAAAAATCCCTATATGGCTTTGGTTTGCTGAAATACTATTTTACATTGTTAGAAAGGAAAAACATGTTCAAATAAATCTGACATTATGACACATTCACATATTTCACTTAGAACTGACAGTTATACAGATGCCTACATGTGATCACATATGCCTCCCCTTGTGATGACACAAATAAAAAGGTAATCCAAATGTTTATCTCACAGTAGAGGGCAATCCAGAAGTCTGTGCAGAAGTGACATATAAGGAGTTATTATCTGGAAGAGGGGGAACCACAGAGTTTCCATTAGTGGGTGAACAGCTCAGTTTCAGTTTTTCCAAGTATTCTGCATGAACAGGCTTGTGACACTGAAGGACCTTGATTGCATCTTCTACTTTAAACCATTCTCTCTTCCTTCCTGAATGAGTATAATCCACAAAGGAGAAGAGTTACAAAATTTTAACAGCACCATTGGTTGCTATCTAGTAATTCACTCTCCGTTGTTTAGAAGTTTAAGTTGCCAGGCAAAAGACAGTGGGAAGACATGGAAAGAATAGACAAACAAGAGATTCACTCAAGCTTACTAAAATGCAATTCATAATAAAACCTTTCAGATAACTCCTGAAGCTCATACTGGACAGAAACTCATGTGACCATTTATATGCTCCAAAAGCCACATCAAGTCCTTACAGGAAAGGATGATATTTAAATGACTTAATACTGCCTTCCTACTCATATGATCATGCTACTCATACTACATACTGCATGGTCATGCCTAGCAAAAAAACAAACAATCTTTAGACTGAACATGCATGCATGAAGTTACAGAAGAATGGCTTGGTCTGACCTCAGAAGCAGTGTTCCATACTGAAAATCTCCATACATATCCATGTATGGAATTACTCAGTCTAGCTATAAGTTTTAAAAAATAATACACCTTATACTACAGAATCATAGAACCAACCAGGTTGGAAGAGACCTCAAAGATCGTGTCCAGCACTACCATGTTTACTAGACCATGGCACTAAGTGCCACATCCAGTCTCATCTTAAAAACCTCCAGGGATGGTGAATCCACCACCTCCCTGGGCAGCCCGTTCCAATGCCTGATAACTCTGTAAAAATCTCTTCCTAATATGATATATTTATATAAGTTTCAAGACTTAACCTTACTAAGATTGCCTTAAGACCATCTTTCTTTTACAAGTCAGTCCTTTAAAATTAAAGGTCTCTGAAAATACTTATAGACAAGGTCAAGGACTGTATTGTTAAAAGTGGGATTGATTCTATTTTTCATTTGGGTTTACAGGTGCATGACAGGTACTGTGCTTGAACATCTGTAAACTGTTTGTTTAAGATCAAGGACACTTTCAAAAACACCCTAGAGTATCAGACAGCAAATCACTGTACTTGTTAAGGAAAAAATAATTTGGCAGTATAGCGTTTGGCCTTTAAAAACCATTACAAGCTGTATTGCCAGCTAATAATGATCCCATTCTAATACTTAGACTAGTCTAATTAATATAACATAAGAGTAACACAATATTTTTGAAGCAGCCCTAGTTATGTGTGTGCTAAAGAGTGGAAGAACAGCATCACAATTTCCAGTAATTTCAGTTTATAGAACAGAATTAGGATTCCCTCAAATTATATGAATTGCATTAAAAAATGAAAGAAGTTGCTTCATACATTTTAAGTGTAGCATATGAGGATAGAGAATGAACTTGCCTATATTCACTGAATCCTCCCAGTCTTCCAGTATTTCTGTCACAGTAAGAACATAAACATATGTCCTATGCTTCCGATCCTGGTTCTGCTTGAATAGTAGAAGTTAAAATTATCAGCAATATAATTTACAGACTTACCACAACTATAAGATTAGAAATTACTTACCTCTGAAGGATACTTGCCAGCAAACCTGGCTTTTATTTTCACTAAACAAACATCTGTATTGACAAGACCCAAAATAAAGGGAAAACAAAAGTTTCACTTGAAACAACTATTCTGTTTTACTAGGCTCAAAACCCAACCAAACCAAAACTAATGCAAACAGCTTTGAAGATTGTGAAGTTGTGACCAAAGTATGTTCTTGGTAATCCAGTTAAATATTAGCAGTTGTCCACTAGCACTGCCCATTACTTATCTTTTATGTTATGTTGTAAGTTACCACAGTAGAGTGCATTTGCTAAAACTGTTTCCACAACTCATTTGCTAGATGAATGGTTATTTAAAAAAAAAACAAACCACCACAATACCTTTGCAAGATGGAACCACTGCATCACATGGCCAGGCCATCTACACGGTGCTGGCTACAAGTCTCACTCAGGGAGTGAGGGAAGGTAAATAGCCTGTGCTTGCAATCATGACAAATGCAAAAATCATTACCATCTGCTCACTCAACAGGTTTGCCACATTGGCAGCACTAACCACCTCTTTAGAAAGAACAAGGCAAGTTAAATACAGAGACTGACAGAGGTAGTGCCATTACTCCCTCCTGGCTCTGAAGCAGGCTAGAAGCAGTGTTGGAGGTGATTCCTGACTCAAACCATCCTCCCTCTTGGAAATGATCTGAGCTCCCAAAAAGTCCAGGACCATCTATGATTACAACTATATTAAGAACCAAGAGATGGTATGGCCTAGCTCCCCTTACAGACAGCTGTATCCTTGTGCCAGTAACCTTTTTGACTCAACTCTGTTTCACTACAAGCTTAATATAGTTTTAAACTGTTCTTCTTTACTAGGAAATAAAAATACTCCAAGAGTTCTTTGTCAGGATCAGAATGAAATGGAATAAATACATCCATAACATGTATCCTTTCTGGCTGTAGTTCTAGAACAGGAGGAGTCAGCAGCAGCATTAGTTTGACTCTTCTCTTGGTTCCATCCCCAGGTCACAAGGTGTGCCCCCCTCAGTGTTACTAGCAACTGTTTGTGGGCCCTGTTGTGAAACTGAAATAGGGCCTTAAATTAAGTTAGAAGCAACCAGTTAGAAAAGTGACTCTCAGAGATGTTTATATCTTCTGGTCTAGCTGGTGGTAGACGGCTTCAGAAGATGATACAACTGAATTACCAGTGAATCACCATCCTTTGCAGCCCATTTGAAGGCAACAACATGTTAGGTATTATCCTGGGGTTTTTTTCGGTCTGAGATGGAAAATGGAGAATATTTCTGTAGCCTAACCAACAGAATTAAAACACAGACAAGGTTTTAATGTGTAGGACCATCCAGTTGTACTCAAACCCAAAACATATCAGAAAAAGGGCCAGTGCTAACCACAAACAGGAGCTTCTCTAATTGTGTCATGGCCTCCATACTTCACACAATGAGCACACCTTTATCACCCAATCAACTACCCATACATGACTAAGTAATGTTTCACACAGGAAATCCTTGCCAGGAATACACTGCTCTGAAAGCTGGGTGAAGATTTGTACCTAACAAAGGGACTTCCACTCAGCATGCAGCACAACATAGTAACACTGGACATATCATCATCTGAAGGCTAACACTACAGTCTACTCCTGCCTAGAACCTGAGCAGCACTGTGCAACACTAACACTAAAAGACTTCTGTTATCCAAAGTCTTCGCCTTTGTTTAGTGAATCAAAGCCATAATGCGATGCTTCATATGCAGACCCATCAATTTAGGTGTGTGAAAGTTGACAAGTTACTTCAGCAAAATCTAACCAGAGCAGAGAAGTCAAAATAGCACCCTAAAAAGAGGCATGTGTGATGTTTCAGAATTCCTAAATCTGTCAGTGTTGGTTTTGTGTTTGTTTTTACTTCTAGATGTTAACCAAGTACTAATTTAATCTTTCCAGTAAAGGTCCAAGTACTTTGAACTCTTCCTATTCAATTCTTCACACATCATGTAACAACTAAAGTCAGTCACCTATTGCATGGCCAGTAGCACTGCAAAATTATAGGTAGGTAATGCTTAGGAAGTCAAGTCTGATGTTGTATTTTATCGATTACCACAAAAAAAACCCACACAAAAACAAACAAACAAAACCCCACCCCAAACAAAAAAAACCCTTTTTTTTTTAAAGGTAAAACAAACAGCTCACCTCAAATATCCCAAGTAGTCTGCCTAGCTTTCCCTTTACTCCAGCCTACAAAACAAACAGGAAAAAGTGTTAGCATGTGGTATTAATATAAAAAACCCTAATATATCAGTACAATCCTCCTACATTAGCATACTCCTGCTTGTTAGGGTTATTTAAGCAAGCGTTTTAACCTAAGTTTTAATTAGATAGTGCTGCATTGCTTCTGGAGTTTCTAGTTTTAGAGTACTTCAGAGTATTAGAGTACAAAACTTGTCCTAGTGGGTAGATCAATGAATACATAAATCTTTCAAGTTTTTGACCTAGACCAAAATACTGTATTATTTACCACATTTCTTGTGTACTGTATTTTATTAAAGAGACAAATGATATCCAGTACTAAAATAATCCAGGAAAGTAGACAGGACAGGAGATAACTTCAAGTAGTATAAAAATTAATCTAGAGAAGGAATCATTGAAACTACTTTATTTTACACAGAAACTTAAGTACAAGACTTCAAGATACAACAACAAATTAAACTATAAGTTATGCATGGATCTTGCAGCATAATGACTTCATGTATGATGGTTTTCATATGAAAGTGTAGCTTTTGGCATGTAATATTAAAACCAAATTTATATCCCCAATTTTCTAAAGAGCTTTGAACTCTTTCTAGCTACTAACATTACAAACAGCTTTAAATTCAGAGTTTTACTCCAACATTTTGGAACAACCCATGTGTATCAGCCTGTGCTTAGCAACTTTTACCAATCCAGTTAAGGTGCCCATTACTTTCTAGTAAAACTAAGGTTTGCTTCTCCAAAAGCAACAGATAATGCCTCTTCCAACAGACACAGCTTATGATCACCCATTTATTCTGAACAAAACTCAGATATAAAGGCATATGTTGTCTACTGGCAGACAAAGCCATATTTAGATTTTTTTTTATCTTCTTGTATAACTAACATTTAAAATAGAGCTTCTTAGGACTAAGATGACATTTTCTAGTCTTTAATCTTTGCTTCCAGCTTTAGCCAAAGAAAGTTATTGATGTCGTATGTCTTTATATAAAGAACCATATGGATCTTAATTACATTTTAATGAGTAACTCCGACAGAAAACTGGGCAGGCTTTAGCAATAAGTCTAATCAAAGCCTTACAAGTGGATGTTTTCTGTGTCTTTCTCTTTAAAGAAAGCAGATGGCTGGTGTTATTTATTAAGCCCTTTGGATGAAGAGGTCTGATTGCAGCCCATGCAAATCATCAAGCATTTGGCTAGAGCAAGAGCTAGACCAAAAGTTAATACAAGACTACATACAACATTCTGGTTGTCTGCTGTGTGAAAGATATCTGTTGGAGCTCATGAAGTGAAAATACACAACTGGACCTGCTGGATAAGTGGTTAGGCAGCATATTAATTAGGAAAGTGGCAGGCCCTTGTTTTGGTCTGAAAGAATAAGCTGTGCCACTGAAGACTGTTTGTGCTTTACACTGGGTAATCAAAAAGCACTTATTAGCCTAAGGAACATGCTGAAGAGAAGTTTTATTGATCAGTCCTAATTTCCTCAACATTATACTATCTTTTCAAAAAAGAGAAGCAGAACTTGAAAGTCTACTAACTTATGCTTCTGTCCCCAATTTTCCCCTTTCTTCTCATTCAGCACTATCTAGGAATTATTATATCCTTAAGATTCCTACTTTGTGGCAAAGCAAACAACTAAAAAAAAAAACCAATTTCCCATCATCCTATTCCATCAAAAGTAATATGAATCTGTGGGATTTGTCTTTTTTTAATACTTCAACTGTCCAAGTATGCACTTTTAGCTGCACAAGTTCTGCAATTTCTTCATTTCTTCCCTAAAGTTGCAACAAAGAACAAGATTAATATCCTTGAAGATATGGCTGAAGAGCATGACAGTGAGGCTAGTACAGAGCCTGTGAGTTTCTCAAACATTAAAAAAAGCTTTTTCAAGTACTAAGAAACTGCTTTAAAGGAGACTATGGTCCACCAAAGGGAGAAAAAAAAGAGGTGAATGACTCTTTACCCCAAACAATCACCTCCCTCTCCCACAACCCCAACCTCCCCTGAAACCAAAAAACCTTCAAGTCCTGCCCAAGGATTATCTATGTTATTATGATTTTTGAAGGCAGGTCTATGGCAATAGGACTGTTGAAGGATAAAGAAACTCATCATCAATAGATGGAGGAGGGTTTCTCTGAGCTAAGTGGGAGTCTGCCAGCTAATTAATGTGTAATATGTGGCAAAACCACGACAATCAGCTAAGTTTACTGATACTGCATAGCTTTCATAGAGAAGTTTTTTCAACTTATTAGTACTCCATAGTCACAAATGTGACTTTATCAATGTTACTCTAACTGGAATTTACTTAACAGCTTCTCCTTTCTCCCTCCAAGCAAATCAGCAGTTTAAACAAATACTCTTAGCTAAGTAATTCTGAATGAAACAATTAGAAGCACTCCGTTACATAAAAGTGCAAAAACACTCCAAAGCTTGTAATGAAGCTTTGATGCAACCAGATGTTGTTATATAAATGTGATTATTGTCACTGATGTCTAGTTACTCCTCTCAGCAAAGATACATGCCTCCAAGATGTAGCATCATTCCTGCAGACAGCAGTGTCTTTTGAAAAGCTCTACACCCAAAAGGATAAAAAGGTAGTAATTAAAAGTATATTTTTGTATCTGAAAGTAATATATGCATCTGAACAATCTTCATAATTTAAAAAGAACCCTCAATTTGACAGTGATCTTTTAAGTGCCTTTGCTAACAAAAATATTTCCTTCAGGTTCTTATTGTAATGTAGTCCCTTCAAAATGTGTCAAAACTAAGTAGTAGAGGACCAAGAAACACTTCAGCTTTTGCCCCAGAATGTCAGATGAAGTTCCCTCTTTCCCAGTTGTAAGCTTCTAATACAATAAACTGGTTAAGTTTCAGACTTTGGACCATTTTGTCTCTCAAAAATATATGTTTTCCTTTGGCCTTTATGTTCCCAATGGCTGTCAAAATATTGTTCAAATACACAGAATCCTATAGGCAGCAATGAGTGTGCTAGGCAGTCTAAACTTTGGGAGAAGGCATGAAAAAACCCAACATTTCTTCCACAGACAAGCTGTTCAATTAAGTGCTACACATCCCCAGAACAATTCCATAAAGGAAGTCTGAGTACTATGAGAGATCTCAAATCTGAATTTTATGCATGTATTTTAGCATTAGCCTAAATCCATCCACAAGAGGGAAAACTATCTGCTTCATC